ATTGTAGCTGTATGTAAGTTAGTCAATATTATTCAAGGAAATAACATCTGTTATTGGAATATATATATATGTATATATTGTCTTATGTTATAGTACCAGAAACTTGTACGGATATGTTTCGATATACTATTGAATCGTTATTTATTACTCATGCTGAACCAAATCTTAATACGATTGGTAATGTTTTGAATGAGGATCCAAACATTGGTTATTATCCTATGAATAATCCATGGTTGATTCGTAGTGATCAATGGTGTCAAGGATTATTACGTCGACCTCAACTAAAAAGTACAACATCGAATGAAACTGTAACAACTAAATGATCGACAATAATATCATTATCAATTTGAAATGAGGATGAAATAGACATCCACATATCAATATATTTTTGAACGATCTATGATTTCATTTTGTTTTTGTTTTCATATTCGCGCTTTAACGTGTTTATTTTGAAAATAAAGTTATGAAAATTCTACTGACTTTCAAAAATAAGAAAAAAAAACCCCATCTCTGAATATACATATATATATATATCGTATAGTATAATGGAAGTGATAATTTCATATTTTTTCTAGATAATCTTTACATTTCATTGAATATGTCGTTATCAAATCAAAGTCGATAATCGTTAAATAGACAACAATCAGCAACACACGTTGTTCAAGCAGCAGATCGATTTCAACACTTAAAGATCGATAATAATATGAATTTAGTCTCGTTACATACAGCTACAAACGATGTTTCACTAGATTCACTATATATGCATAATGAAGCATTAGCTGACGAAGAATTGATCGAACGATTTAAAGAATTAATTAATGAATTTATGACTCGTCCTGATCGACATTATTCATATAAAACAAACATGCGTTGGACAATTAACCATGGCAATCAAATAAAATATAGTGTTGTTATTTCGATTAATCAGACTTCTGATTCTGATGTAAAAGAATAAATTTTGTATCGCGATTGATAAATAAACGAAGAAAAAAGAATCATTTGATTGTTATATTTTCAAAAAATAAGAAAAATACAGTGGATTTTTCTTAATGATTTTTGTTGTTGATATTGTAGATTTAGTTTTCTTTTATGGTCAGTAATTCACCGTTACGCACTGCGATCAAACTAAATGATCCTAAAATAGAACAAAAATCGGTAGCAATCTCTATCATTTTGAATTAATATATCTCTTATTTATATTTCAAGACACATCGAAGATTGTTCGATTATTCGTTGTCAACACCATGGTATCCACCAAAGTCTGAATGGTCTTCGAAACGACTCGTTAAATTACAAGAACGACGACCAATTAAAGATCCAGTTTTTATTTATTTGAATTCCATGAATATAG